ATAACGTGTTGTGTCTTTAGTGTATTTGTTGTAAGAGAGTGTGTTAACGTATGGTATCTTTAGTGTATTTGTTGTAAGAGAGTGTGATAATGTGTTGTGTCTTTAGTGTATTTGTTGTAAGAGAGTGTGATAACGTGTTGTATCTTTAGTGTATTTGTTGTAAGAGAGTGTGTTAACGTATGGTATCTTTAGTGTATTTGTTGTAAGAGAGTGTGATAACGTGTTGTGTCTTTAGTGTATTTGTTGTAAGAGAGTGTGATAATGTGTTGTGTCTTTAGTGTATTTGTTGTAAGAGAGTGTGTTAACGTATGGTATCTTTAGTGTATTTGTTGTAAGAGAGTGTGTTAACGTGTTGTATCTTTAGTGTATTTGTTGTAAGAAAGTGTGTTAACGTATGGTATCTTTAGTGTATTTTTAGTGTATTTGTTGTAAGAGAGTGTGTTAACGTGTTGTATCTTTAGTGTATTTGTTGTAAGAAAGTGTGTTAACGTATGGTATCTTTAGTGTATTTGTTGTAAGAGAGTGTGATAACGTGTTGTATCTTTAGTGTATTTGTTGTAAGAGAGTGTGATAACGTGTTGTATCTTTAGTGTATTTGTTGTAAGAAAGTGTGTTAACGTATGGTATCTTTAGTGTATTTGTTGTAAGAGAGTGTGTTAACGTATGGTATCTTTAGTGTATTTGTTGTAAGAGAGTGTAATACCATACGTTAACACACTCTCTTACAACAAATACACTAAAGATATCAAACGTTAGGAAGCCAACAACAAAATAACTATAGGCTGAATGTACAAACTCTCCAGTAACCCACTGCAGGGTGCCAACAACAAAACAAATATTGGCTGAATATATCAACTCTCCAATAACCCTCTCCAGGTTGCGAACAACAAAACAACTATAGCCCGAACAGGCAAACTCTCCAATCACCCACTCCAGCGTGCCAACAACTAAACAAAATTCCTCATAGGAAAGGAATTATTCAATCTAACCCAACTTTTAAAAACATCTTTTCAGAATATATTGCTACATTCATTACTACATGACTTAACATATAAATTTAATTTGGCAAGAACTTTGTCGGGAGGATTAGGAAGAGTTACAAAATAATGTTTTGACTTGCATTAAATGATTAGTCTGCCAAGTTAAAGTTAGGGTTAGGGCTGTTGTGAAGATTACAATATTTGGTCATGGCTAAGTGTCAGGGTAGCCTGCCAAGTCAAAGTTACAGTTAGGGCTGTGGTGAAGATTACAATATTTGGTCATGGCTAAGTGTCAGGGTAGCCTGCCAAGTCAAAGTTACAGTTAGGGCTGTGGTGAAGATTACAATATTGAGCCACATGGCTAAGTGTCAGGGTAGCCTGCTGAGTCAAAGTTAGAGTTAGGGCTGTGATGAAGATTACAATATTTGGGCATGGTTAAGTGTCAGATTAGTCTGTCAAGTCAAAGTTAGGGTTAGGGCTGTGATGAAGATTACAATATTGAGGCATGACTAAGTGTCAGATTAGTCTGCAAAGTTAAAATTAGGGTTAGGGCTGTGGTGAAGATTACAATATTTGGGCATGGCTAAGTGTCAGATTAGTCTGCCAAGTTAAAGTTAGGGTTAGGGCTGTGGTGAAGATTACACTTTTTGGGCATGGCTAAGTGTCAGGTAAGGCTGCCAAGTTAAAGTTAGGGCTAGGGCTGTGGTGAAGATTACACTATTTGGTCATGGCTAAGTGTCAGATTAGTCTGCCAAGTTAAAGTTAGGGTTAGGGCTGTGATGCAAAGTTAAAATTAGGGTTAGGGCTGTGGTGAAGATTACAATATTTGGGGATGACTAAGTGTCAGATTAGTCTGCAAAGTTAAAGTTAGAGTTAGGGTTGTGATGAAGATTACAATATTTGGGGATGACTAAGTGTCAGATTAGTCTGCAAAGTTAAAGTTAGAGTTAGGGCTGTGATGAAGATTGCAATATTTGGGGATGACTAAGTGTCAGATTAGTCTGCCAAGTTAAAGTTAGGGATAGGGCTGTGTTGAAGATTACAATATTGAGTCATGGCTAAGTGTCAGGTTAGTCTGCCAAGTTAAAGTTAGGGTTAGGGCTGTGGTGAAGATTACAATATTTGGGCATAGCTAAGTGTCAGGTTAGTCTGTCAAGTTAAAGTTAGGGTTAGGACTGTGGTGAAGATTACAATATTTGGGCATGGCTAAGTGTCAGGGTAGCCTATCAAGTCAAAGATAGAGTTAGGGCTGTGGTGAAGATTACAATATTTGGTCATGGCTAAGTGTCAGGGTAGCCTGCCAAGTCAAAGTTACAGTTAGGGCTGTGGTGAAGATTACAATATTGAGCCACATTGCTAAGTGTCAGGGTAGCCTGCTGAGTCAAAGTTAGAGTTAGGGCTGTGATGAAGATTTCAATATCTGGGCATGGTTAAGTGTCAGATTAGTCTGTCAAGTCAAAGTTAGGGTTTGGGCTGTGGTGAAGATTACAATATTGAGTCATGGCTAAGTGTCAGGTTAGTCTGCCAAGTTAAAGTTATGGTTAGGGCTGTGGTGAAGATTACAATATTTGGGCATAGCTAAGTGTCAGGTTAGTCTGTCAAGTTAAAGTTAGGGTTAGGACTGTGGTGAAGATTACAATATTTGGGCATAGCTAAGTGTCAGGGTAGCCTGCCAAGTCAAAGTTAGAGTTAGGGCTGTGGTGAAGATTACAATATTTGGGCGTGGCTAAGTGTCAGATATGAGCCTTCAGGAGTTAATAAAATATTACAAATAAACCTGTATATATGTGTCTGTCTGCATCTATGTGTGATGATATGTATTGCATAAAATATAAAGTCTTTCGGCATAAAGCCAAGGTTAGGGTTGGTTTGAAAAAAAAAACATGCAGAAGATCCAAATGATGTGGGATATTTGTTTACTTTAACTAAAGGAATATTGTCGTAGCCCCAAACAGCCCAGGATAAAGTATGACTACATTTGAGGTGGTACATATCGAAGCTGCTTGGATTAGAAATGAATATATCACTTATGTTCATGGTCATAGCTTGGGTTAGAGCAACAGTTGTGTTAAAAGATATAACAGGTCGCTGTTTATCATTGGTTAACTGGCATAGCTGAATGGCTGCAAACAACTTCAATACTATTGCTAGTGTGTATTCGAAAGTTAAAGATATTAGCCTTCGTGTTAAAGTTAGGGATATGTTAACAATATGATATACCACCCGGTGAATAATATGTATTAGAGTGACAAACGAACTGGGGACATTGTATCACTTTGTGCGTGATGTGTAGTAATATTGCTGTTTATATACCGATTCGCAAAAGAAACAAGATCTCGATTTTTTTTATAATTTTTTATCATTTCATAGAAATGTATCGTTTTATTTATAGCAGCAACTGGGAATACTCTTCTTGTATAACACAGTAAATTAGGCGTCACCACCACAGCGAGTGTCAAGACTGGAAAGTCAGTAGCCATTGAATTTTTTCGATTTCAGTAACGAATATGTTCCCCTTATCATTTGTTGTTGGTTTCTGAGATGCATAGCGTTCGTTGTATGTTTATTTGTGCCAGTGAGGTGTTCTAATGAATTTTGGCGGTTTCGAACGTGTCTCTAACTTGCCCAACACGTGCTCAAAGGCGAAAAATCTGAACTGCATGACACTGAATATTGCCTTAGTGCTCGGGAATAATCAGCACACCTATAGGTTATCATCGATGTATAGTTGAGCTGTCAAATCGTTTTTAATGACGATCTGTAATGTACTGATGCCACTCAAAACCACAACACTTCTACCACAAAACCTTTGACGTTCCCCCATACAGATTTCGGCATACTGGACACAACCGGGTGGTACAGCGCGAATCTTGACTCGCTAGAGAAGAGTATCCGGCGCCATCTTTGCGAAGGAAACACGTTAGGACTATTTCGTCGGATCCATTGTATGTCTCATTTGCTGCAGTTCGAAATTGGTTGCGCAAGTGCTGTGACCGCTTGAAACGATCCAGGCGCGGTGCCGTAACCTTCCAGGACGGTCGGCAGTTGTACCATTCAGTCCAAGGCGGGCCGTACACATTTATACCTCTTGCCACAGTACTTTGCGCGTTTCCAACCAACAGTAACTACTCTGTCCTGTTGCATTTGTAAAACTCGACATTATCTTCACAGTGGCAATATCAGACTATTATACATGAAGGGTTTACATGTCACATGATGGGTTTACATGTCACATGATGATGTCTCATCATGTCTCCAGGACACAACAAACCGTGAAGAGATAGTGAATGTGTATGCTGTGCTTTTCAAAACTGGAAACAAACGTTTATTGATGTAAAAGTTATTGACAATTGACTGGAGTTTGTGTTAGTCTGTATATATAATCACGCGTACATATCTTCATAAATCTATAAAAAGAGATATATAATTACACAAATACGGTGTAAATATTAATGAATTTTCACATTCAGATCTTACCATACAAATATTCGGTTATTTACCGTACAATACTCTTTATTCACAAAACAAATAGTGTTATTTACCATACAAATACTGCGTTATTTACTTTACAAATACAGTGTTATTTACCATACAAATACTGCGTTATTTACTTTACAAATACAGTGTTATTTACCATACAAATACTGCGTTATTTACTTTACAAATACAGTGTTATTTACCATACAAATACTTTGTTATTTACCATACAATTACAGTGTTTTACCGTACAAATACAGTGTTATTTACCGGACAAATACTGTGTTTATACCACCATACAAATTCTTTGTTATTTACCGTACAAATGCTGTGTTATTTACCGTACAAACACAGTGTTATTTACCGTACAAAGATTGTGTTATTTACCGTACAAATACTGTGTTATTTACCGTACAAGTACAGTGTTATTTACCATAAAAACTGTGTTATTAATCGTATTGTTTGTTATTACAATATCTGTGGAAATAAATACATATCACTACGAAAACGTGACCTCGTTGTGAAAACAAGACAAGTCAAAGACATTTTTGTTATCATTATATCGTATGTAACGGTGAACAAAAGACAAGAACACTTTATTATTGCTGTCTTGATTCAACCACGTGACCTAAATAGGAACTAGACAAAGTCTTTATGTCGTCATTTAATCAAGTGATCTAAATCGGCTCCAAACAAATTCTTCTTGTCATTGTTTAATCACGTGATCTAAATCGGCACCGGACAAATTCTTCACGTGACCTTCAATAAGCACACGACAAATTCTTCTTATCACGTGACCTAAATAAGCACACGACAAATTCTTCCTGTCTTGATTCGATCACGTGACCTAAATAGACACAAAACAATTTTTTTTCATAATTTAATCACGTGCTCTAAATCGGCGCAGGACCAACAATATTTGATCAGAATCTAATTAAGAAAAAATGTTTGTTCAAAATAATATAGGAAAGAAATTCTTGTTCCTGAAGTAGTGAAACCAGATTTGACCCCGAACATGTTGAAACTATATTCAAAAATCTAAATGTTAGTTAAAGATCTTCAGTAGGAATACCAGACATGAATTTTCCCAAATAAGGTGGTGTGTTAATTAGAAAGTAGCAGTGCATGTAGGATGACGAAAGAGTTCAGTTCCTTGTTCCGGATTGGAGAACGTTCCTGAAACAAGAAAAAAACTGATATCGGAATTCCTTTCAATTTAGGTTTAATAAAACATGTATATATAAACTAGCTTGTGATTTCTGAAAGCATGCCTTCAGAAAAAAGAATTCTGAACAGATTGACTGTATGTAGAGAACAGTACATTCTACAGGATTACTCACTATGTTAGATGAATGATTAAAAGTCTCTTACATTTACAACATTGTGTTATAATAATATCATCGGGGTGGTTAACACCTACAGTGATATATTGGGAGTGGTATGGGAGTGAATTGATGATACTACACTAGAGTGAAACACTTACTGATAATTTTGGATGATGTTTTTGAGACCCTGTGCTATTTCAGACTTTTCTCTCGTGTCAAAAAAACGTCGGTTTTGTAAGGTGATGTCAACGACCATGCTGTCTGTGAGTAGTTGTCTTGCGTCTCTCTGAGTCAGTGTGAACACCTTAAACAGAATGTCATATTAATTAACACAACATTAAACAAAACCAATCTGTGACAACACACCACCAGTGGCGTAACAATAATGTATGCTTAAGCATATCTCGAAACAGTGATTGTTGGTAACAAAAATAATTACTACGTTTTGTCATTTTTGTTGAAGAAAATGTGTTGGTGAAAATAGAAATGTTATTTCTGATTTCTGATTAGGTAACGCCCGACAGATATCCCTCACTCACCGGGGCTTCACCCCTAGACCCTCCCACCGGGGCTTCACTCCTGGACCCTCCCACCGGGGCTTCCCTGGACCCTCCCACCGGGGCTTCACCCCTAGACCCTCCCACCGGGGCTTCTTCCCTGGACCCTCCCACCGGGGCTTCACCCCTGGACCCTCCCACCGGGGCTTCACCCCTGGACCCTCCCACCGGGGCTTCACCCCTAGACCCTCCCACCGGGGCTTCACCCCTAGACCCTCCCACCGGGGCTTCTTCCCTGGACCCTCCCACCGGGGCTTCACCCCTGGACCCTCCCACCGGGGCTTCACTCCTAGACCCTCCCACCGGGGCTTCACTCCTAGACCCTCCCACCGGGGCTTCACTCCTGGACCCTCCCACCGGGGCCTCACTCCTAGACCCTCCCACCGGGGCTTCACTCCTAGACCCTCCCACCGGGGCTTCACCCCTAGACCCTCGCACCGGGGCTTCACTCCTAGACCCTTCCACCGGGGCTTCACTCCTGGACCCTCCCTCCTGGGCTTCACCCCTAGACCCTCCCACCGGGGCTTCACTCCTAGACCCTCCCACCGGGGCTTCACCCCTGGACCCTCCCTCCTGGGCTTCACCCCTGGACCCTCCCACCGGGGCTTCATCCCTGGACCCTTCCACCGGGGCTTCACTCCCAGACCCTCCCACCGGGGCTTCACCCCTGGACCCTCCCTCCTGGGCTTCACCCCTGGACCCTCCCACCGGGGCTTCACCCATGGACCCTCTCTTTAAAACACACACACTCCTAAAACACTCATATACCACTAACCACTCAGTCAAGCAAATGCTCCAGTGTGCGTACATCACTTACTGTCATTCAATATTGTTTAAAAAGCCGTTTTACAACTGTTATATAACTGAGAAAATTTCTGCCTTGTAATTGGCTCTGAGGTCTCCCACAGGTCCCGACAATATCAACCCCTGCAACTGACGGATTCCTGTACCAGAGCAGGAGATAGAAAATATTCCATTCAACAGGACAATCTTGGAAAGACACCAGAAATAAAATCTTATTATTTCATTGGTGTCACTGATGGAATTCCTAATGCTGTTAAGCAGTTAATGTACAAATGTCACCATTAATTTCAGTAGGAAGTTGCTATAAAGAAAACTGATGAATATTGTAAAAGTAGATTGAACAATTTAATGAAGGCTTCCCATTAGGAATTGCCTAATTATTGTAATTTAACTTTTTTTGTGAAAATAAATTCCGATAAAATTAAAATGGGAGACATTAATTTTTCATACAAATATCATTGTTAATACCTAATGATAACTAATATCAATACGCCTCTTAGATATCGTGTCGTATGACAAAACAGTTATTGACTTCTTTTCGGTTAATACAAGGATTTAACGACCCTCGAAAGGAGACATACCCTAAAGAAAGATCACATTTATTAGGTCGAAAAATCTTCGTAGAAACTTACAAAACAGTCAATCATTGTGTATCATTAACTAAAAAGTGGGTTTGTGTCAAAATTATTGTCCACCTCGGTTATAACAATATCGGTATTATATCAGCCCCTCGGTTATAACAATATCGGTACAATATCAGCCCCTCGGTTATAACAATATCAGTCCCTGAGTTATAACAATATCGGTACAAGATCAGCCCCTCGGTTATAATAATATCAGTCCCTGAGTTATAACAATATCGGTACAATATCAGCCCCTCGCTTATAACAATATCAGTCCCTGAGTTATAACAATATCGGTACAATATCAGTCCCTCGGTTATAACAATATCGGTACAATATCAATCCCTCGGTTATAACAATATTGGTACAATATCAATCCCTCGGTTATAACAATATTAGTACAATATCAGCCCCTCGGCTATTTAAACTTTAAAAGGACAAAATAAAAAAGTGACAATTATTTAATGTTCAGAAAAGACCGAGAGTCTCGTGTTATAAAGATGGTAGTTGATAAGATTTTCATAGAAAACTCGTTGTCTTTGATGTTTGTTGTGTATAAATGAACCACGAAAATAAATACTTCAAAACATAATAATATTGTTTTGCTTTAATAAAGTGTTTTGAAAATTACCACTTCGGAATGTTATTAAAGGTATTTTGATCTTTTCATTTATTCCTATGGCAGAAAAATGTCGTTCATCAGTGCTTAAGTGACAGCATCTCGACTTAGCATGCTTGGTCTCTCGGTCACTGCATGTATCTCAGATCGCCGACATTTTTTTATTTCCTTACAGAGTAATTTGCTTTGATAGGGGTTACGTTCCCTAAAGGGTAAAGCGGTGTCATTTCCAGCAATACTTATACATGTACACAGACGATCACGTCATATAGGTTTGTTATTACCTATGTCCCTAAGGATACCTACAACGTCATGGTTCTGGTCGTAAAGGATGATGATTGTCTCGCCACAGGAAGTAAAGCCCCAGTACTGCGACAGGTAGTAAGCGTAAACGCGAGCGTCCTGCAGTATACCGCCCAAGGTGTTGGAGGTGCTGAAACAGAAAAGTGTACTCCCGATATCTGTCAAATCTCCCTCGTGTTTTCACAATAACATATTTAATGAAACATTAACTTTTAAATGATATGAAATGTAATTGGTATGGATGTCAAGGGGGACAACAACAATGGAAAATAAAGTCAGAAATCCACAGTACAAGACAGAAAAAATGGAAAAGATCAAGGTCCGAAGTGTAGCAACGACGACAACAGTTGGTATACTTAATGTCATAGATGTAGAAAAAAGATTTGTATGAAAATTCTATGGAATACTGCTGATCGTATAACTAGGTCTGTATGTAAGATGTCACTCGGTAGTCTGTGTGTAAGATGTCGCTCGGTAGTCTGTGTGTAAGATGTCACTCGGTAGTCTGTGTGTAAGATGTCACTCGGTAGTCTGTGTGTAAGATGTCACTCGGTAGTTTATATGCCAGGTGTCACTCGGTAGTCTGTGTGTAAGATGTCACGTGGTAGTCTGTGTGTAAGATGTCACTCGGTAGTCTGTGTGTAAAATGTCACGCGGTAGTCTGTGTGTAAGATGTCACTCGGTAGTTTATATGCCAGGTGTCACTCGGTAGTCTGTGTGTAAGATGTCACTCGGTAGTCTGTGTGTAAGATGTCACGTGGTAGTCTGTATGTAAGATGTCACTCGGTAGTCTGTGTGTAAGATGTCACTCGGTAGTCTGTGTGTAAGATGTCACTCGGTAGTCTGTATGTAAGATGCTACTCGGCAGTCTTTGTGTAAGATGTCAATCGGTAGTCTGTGTGTAAGATGTCACTCGGTAGTTTATATGCCAGGTGTCACTCGGTAGTCTGTGTGTAAGATGTTACTCGGTAGTCTGTGTGTAAGATGTCACGTGGTAGTCTGTGTGTAAGATGTCACTCGGTTGTCTGTATGTAAGATGTCACTCGGTAGTCTGTGTGTAAGATGTCACTCGGTAGTCTGTGTGTAAGATGTCACTCGGTAGTCTGTATGTAAGATGTCACTCGGTAGTCTGTGTGTAAGATGTCACTCGGTAGTCTGTGTGTAAGATGTCACTCGGTAGTTTATGTGCCAGGTGTCACTCGGTAGTCTATGTGTCAGGTGTCACTCGGTAGACTGTGTGTAAGATGTCACGTGGTAGTCTATGTGTCAGGTGTCACTCGGTAGTTTATGTGCCAGGTATCACTCGGTAGTCTGTGTGTAAGATGTCACTCGGTAGTCTGTGTGTAAGATGTCACTCGGTAGTTTATATGCCAGGTGTCACTCGGTAGACTGTGTGTAAGATGTCACGTGGTAGTCTATGTGTCAGGTGTCACTCGGTAGTTTATGTGCCAGGTATCACTCGGTAGTCTGTGTGTAAGATGTCACGTGGTAGTCTATGTGTCAGGTGTCACTCGGTAGTTTATGTGCCAGGTATCACTCGGTAGTCTGTGTGTAAGATGTCACTCGGTTGGATACCTTCCAAGGCATATATACTTTAATGTGTAGTTTGTATGTAAAGGCGATGTTTTCTTTTGGATTTTGTGAACATCATAGCTTCGGAGGGTTTCCCTAACTTCCCAGGTCCTGAATACACGATAGGTAGCACCGAGTCAGATACCGATATTGGAAATTAAGTCGAAACAGCCTGACGATTTGTTAAATGAAACCTTGATTATATGAAACGTAAAACATATCAAAATTCATAAAATAGCATACGAGCATGAGAATCGAATAACGCTGCTTTCTTAAAACTTCCGGATTTACAAAGTATAATATTAAAAGTCTCAGTTCTTACGAAAAGAAATACATTTGTGTACAAATAACTTCGACAAGGATACAAAACTAGATAATTGGGATGTTAGGTTTTTGTCAATTTTGCTAATTTTCTTTAAAATACCTATTTCTTATTTTGCAATGCACTATTGCTTACTTCATGATTCGTCTCATCTCTGGCATCAGTGCCACCATAATGACATAGCCAGTGTTTTCTATTCGACATTTCTGGCAGCTACAAGTTGTCACTCTTTCTGTCGTCTTCAACAGGGCGTCGATTGCCGCCGCTGAAACAATAAACATGTATATCATGATTATCACGTGGGCAGTATACATAAATATACATATACTTATCTGTCACGTGGGCTGTATACTATAGACAGTTATATACTTTTCTGTCACGTGGACTGTATACTATAGACAGTTATATACTTTTCTGTCACGTGGACTGTATACTAAAGACAGTTATATACTTATCTGTCACCTGGGCAGTATACCATACTATCTATATCTACTGACTATATATTATATTTACATCCTTCTGTCCAGATCTATTGACTAAAGACTATATTTACATCCTACTGTTTATATCTACTGACTATATTCTATATTTACATCCTACTGTCTATATCTACTGACTATATACTATATCTACATATATCTACATCTTACTGTCTATATCTACTGACTATATACTATATCTACATCCTACTGTCTATATCTACTGACTATATACTATATCTACATACTATAGACTTTATCTACATCCTACTGTCTATATCTACTGACTATAGACTATATCTACATCCTACTGTCTATATCTACTGGCTATAGACTTTATCTACATCCTACTGTCTATATCTACTGACTATAGACTATATCTACATCCTACTGTCTATATCTACTATATCTACATCCTACTGTCTATATCTACTGACTATATACTATATCTACATCCTACTGTCTATATCTACTGACTATATACTATATCTACATCCTACTGTCTATATCTACTGACTATATACTATATCTTCATCCTACTGTCTATATCTACTGACTAGGTACTATATCTACATCCTACTGTCTATATCTACTGACTATGTACTATATCTACATCCTACTGTCTATATCTACTGACTATATACTATATCTACATCCTACTGTCTATATCTACTGACTATGTACTATATCTACATCCTACTGTCTATATCTACTGACTATATACTATATCTACATATATCTACTGACTATATAATATATCTACATCCTACTGTCTATATCTACTGACTATGTACTATATCTACATCCTACTGTCTATATCTACTGACTATATACTATATCTACATCCTACTGTCTATATCTACTGACTATATACTATATTTACTGGGTTACCCGTATTCTTACTTGCCAATGTAGTTTGACCCAAATAAACATAATGATAGTAAACGACATAGGAATGGAAAGCTTTGACGAACTTCTGATAAAAGTGTGTGGAAATAGAACTCAGCAAACTACACATGTGGCCAGCCTTGATCAGCTGGGTCGCTGGTCCTTTAATCACCAAACGGACTGAGAACTTTCGAACTGTTAACTGGTCCACTTGTTTCATGTGAAACAAAAACCATTGCAAATGTAGAAAATTATCCAAATAAACTCAACAAAATATTCGTTAAAAGTTCGAAACGCTTGTTGTCAAAACAATTAACGAATCAGAATTGTCTTTTCACCTAATTTCTAGTTTAAGCAATCGGTAACTTCCGTCATTTTCCGTGAACGAGAGGATATCTAATTGTTTACACGGAAAGAACCCATTTGCTTTTGAGAGATCGAAACATTTACATAGTAAGCAACTCCATTTGTCTATTTCTATTTGAATTGATTTCTTTTGAATATTCATGAATCATCCTTTGAAATGATTTCTATACCAGATGAGTGCAGGCATGAAACAGAAAGATTAAAATTGAAATTCTGGATAGTAAGGTATTGCTTTTGACCGAACTTCGATCGCTTTTCTTAGTTCATACCGTCATCCGATGAAATGATGTTGTTTGGGTCACAGATCCAGGATTCCGTGACGTCAGAGTGACGTCCACATCTCGTGGGTTCGTATCGAGGGTCGGGAAAGGCCATCACGTCCCACACTGTCTGGGATTTTACCATACCACCCAGCACGCCCAGCAGGCAAGCCCAGTAACATACAGAGTACATTGTCCTCGGTCTAAACAAATATCAAACATTACACGAGGTTAGCAGTGTATTCTCAAGTATCTACAAAAGGACATTTTTTGGACAGTTCTTATTTTCATCGACAAAAACTTAACAAGTCATCGTCCAATCAATATAAAGACGCTGAGTTCATTTTTCATGAACTACGTAATAAGTCAAATCATGACGCAAAACTTATCTGAGTCCAACTTCTCCAACCCAAGCATGAAGCAAGCCTCATCGGAGTCCAACTTCTCCAACCAAAGCATGAAGCAAGACTCATTGGAGTCCAACTTCTCCAACCAAAGCATGAAGCAAGACTCATTTGAGTAAAACTTCTCAACCCAAATTATGACGCAAAACTCATTTGAGTCCAACTTCTCCAACCAAAGCATGAAGCAAGACTCATCGGAGTCCAACTTCTCCAACCAAAGCATGAAGCAAGCCTCATCTAAGTTCAACTTCTGAAACCAAATCATGACGCAAAACTCATTTGAGTCCAACTTCTCCAACCAAAGCATGAAGCAACATTCATTTGAATCTAACTAAGTAAGTAAGTCTGAATGTTTGATGAAAAGTTTGGCCGATATAGACGAGATACTTCGAATTAAAACGGGTCTTCGATTTACACGAGTTCGAGATAACGAGGGATATATATTTCATATAAAAATCTGGGTTAGTTTGAGGTAACGTACGTGTAGATTTTAATTAACATATTTTTGTTGTTTCTCATAGTTTCAGTTAGAGATATATTACGTAATATTGTTTGAATTTTCTGTACAAATTCAATGGCACGTAAATAACTTGACCTCCGATTTAAAAATGATTGACACCTGTCAGGTGTTACGTTAAACTCGTCCGATTTATAGGCATATAAATAAAAACTTTTCTTGCACGTGATAGAGACTTAGAATAAACAAATCACTACAACAATAATTCCATGCACGATTAACAATTTGATGATATAAACACAAGGCCCGTACTTAGCGCCCACGTGCAGTGAGAGGCTGACTCCTTGCTGTGCAATGTCAAGACGGATTTCCTTTCCACATTCTTTACAGCGACGTGTAAGGACTTGCAAACGTAAACAATTTGTCTATAAACCGTCAACAAGGACACAAAAAGTCCCGTGATTCTTTAATAAGTTTAATATAGAAAGATAAAAATATTGGGAGATTGTTGATGTGAGGGAACGAGTGTTGATGGGCAGTAGTGAAAGTGTTACCACTGAGGCAGGGAGGGGGTGAAAGTGTTACCACTGAGGCAGGGAGGGGGTGAAAAGTTTACCATTGGCGATACATAGTTCTATCGTTTATCACAGTGTATATTATTAAAAAAAACAATACATTACCTATGATTTACAGTAAATGAGCTGAACATTTAGTAAAGAAAAAATACATAAAAACTTACCAAGTCGGTCTGTTGTTCGTGTTATTCGTGTGCAGCTGAAAGACAACCCTGTTTGAAACCCGATACCTATAGCACCGGATGTTGAACGATGTATGGAGGGGGCGTGCTGCTGATGCGTCACTAATAATATCCGGCTTCCATGGTAACCAGTACATACAGCCTCAACATCTAAAAATAACTTTTGAAGTGAAACTTACTACCATCAACAAAATTCAATTAAAAACTCTGATAAACATCTCTTTTTTTTAATTCGGGAATTTGCAACCCTAGCTTGAATTAAGCACTGCATATCACAATTTAGGAAAAATAGTCTTAGTAAAAATATGTATGTTAATTTTCACGGGTCGTCAAAATTGCTTCGTTTCCCGACCTCAACTAGCACAATAATTTACACCTCTAAGATTTATCTTTCATAATTTCATAAAAAATAAAAAAGTAAAAAAAAAATAAAAAGCCGTAAATCTTATTCCGAAAAAGTGAAACAGCTATGAGATGGAAATTAATGTTACAACTGGATACTTTATCGTAAAATGCAGTTTATCCGTTACCATGGAAATGTTCCTTGGTGATACGGATGCTGCATGCTTTTCGTTTCATATTTCAATCTATTTGTTTAGTAACATTCTTAATAATTATCTGGACTTATCAAACAGCATGTTATCATCGGAGGGCGGGAAGCTTTTATGAATATGAGAACAGAAACATTTATAAGAAAATGGCCTAATAAATCTATAGTGTATGTTTACTCAATAGAGAATAATTTCATTTTAAAATACAATGTTCAACAATTATTATAAATACATTTCACTATCAGGCCTAATTACGTGTTATAAAGGTATGTATATCATCTACCCGGTCATCGTTAATGTTATCTTTATGTTGTCTTAATTAGATTAATAAGAGACCTTTTGTTTTTCATCGTTTTTTTTTTTTTTTTTTTTGTAAATGTTATTTTGTATTTATTTTATTTGCAATCTAATATCTTTTATTCTATTATTGCTGTATTTTTTTCTATGAAAAATAGTAGAAATTACCATTTTTATTTATACAAGTTCAATATCTTGTTTATGGGATACTTAGTAGGTCTTAAAAAACTATAAGATATTCCTATATATATACTCTACCTATATTACATCCAAAAGTTCAGTGTACAGAACAAATAATTTGGTACTATTTGTTTATGAACTTATCCATCTACAACAGCAAACACCATCTAACAAAATTGCATTCACAAAAACAAATAAATACTGCTTTACCTTTCATTTGTACAAAGTGAAAGTCTCTCAATTTCGTTTTTGATATCAGCAGTTATCTCCCTTGTTACAGTATCGGATTGATCGATTCCAACTTTATACTAATAACAGTTCTGAGGATTTCTTGCCATATTCATGTTGTTTTAATTGTACTTATTTAGCGATCGTTAAAAGAAAATATACCCTCTCTTTGACACTATCACGACACAATGCAGTGATATAACATTTTCAGGGGTTGTGGGGACACGAGTGGTAGACACTTCTCTCTAAAAACTAATAAATATATTTGGTAACTTTGTTTATCTTTCATTGTACATTTAAAAAAAAGTTATCCCCGTTAACACCAGATACCCCCTCAAACTCAAGGTATCCCAACCAACACCAGATACCCCCTCAAACTCTAGGTATCACAACCAACACCAGATACCCCCTCAAACACAAGGTATAACAACCAACAACAGATACCCCCTCAAACACAAGGTATAACAACCAACAACAGATACCCCCTCAAACACAAGGTATAACAACCAACACAAGATATTCCCTCAAACACGAGGTATAACAACCAACACAAGATATTCCCTCAAACATGAGGTATAACAACCAACACAAGATATTCCCTCAAACACAAGGTATAACAACCAACAACAGATACCCCCTCAAACACAAGGTATAACAACCAACAACAGATACCCCCTCAAACTCAAGGTATCCCAACCAACACCAGATACCCCCTCAAACACAAGGTATAACAACCAACAACAGATACCCCCTCAAACTCAAGGTATCCCAACCAACACCAGATACCCCCTCAAACACAAGGTATAACAACCAACACAAGATATTCCCTCAAACTCAAGGTATTCCAACCAACATCAGATACCCCTTCAAACACAAGGTAACCCTTCAGCACCTGGTATCCTCTTCAACATCAGGTATCCCCTCCGACACACGGTATCCTCTCAAACACAAGGTAACCCATCAACACAAGGTTTCCCCTCAAACGCTCACATACAAGATATCTCCTGTAACATAAGGTATCTCCTTCAACACAAAGTATATCCAACATCACAAGGTATCTCCTCCATTCCAACATATCCCCTCAACACAAAAATTATCTCTTTCAACACGATTCGGAGGGTACACAAATAATGAAACATATTGATATCCTGACTGGGCCATGACACTGCCACAGCAGTGAAATCCAGATCATTTCCACGGATAAAACACGGCTATGACATTACAATAGCAGGTGCGTACCAGGTTAATAAGTCCGCACTAACATATCATAACACACAACAAATCATTGACAAGGACAATTCCAGAGAGGAATGGACAGATCAAGTGAACCACATGTATACCCTGCTGTGTGGCCATTACCTAACAGGGACGAGGGGGCACATATACTCACATTTATGACCATGTATAAAAACATTGTCCAATCGCCGATACGGGATAAGTGTACAGTAGTACATCATACACGCAATGTATATTACACATGTAAATTTTCTAATGAAGGTGACTATTCCGACATCGAAACGTCAAATACATTTTTAGACCGGTTGTTATATATGAACTGATATTTCATGTTTATTCAGCTCGTCTGTTCGTCTGTTCGAAACCTTTGAAACGCAACCCCTATATCTTTTGATGGATTTTCTTAAAACTCGGCACATAATGGTAAAAGAAAGACTTCCATTTTCGAAAATCATACAATATACATGTTCTAACAGATTGTGATAATCAGCATGACGACATTCTCATGATACACATGTGCGACATTTATATATCCCAGGAAATGGGTGTAAACCCTTCTCTAACCAATATGAGGTACTTGAAACAGTGAAAAATGACGGAACCGTTAAAACAGTGAAAGCAAAGACAGATTATGACGGGAAATACGAAACTAAATAATGTAGTCGACGGAACACGACAGAACATGACGGAACACGACAGAACATGACGGAACACGACAGAACATGACGGAACACGACAGAACTGTGAAGCAGCTGATTGAGGTTGGAGGAGACATTAACATAATGACGAAATATTTAGGAAAGTTTGAAACAGCCTTGAAGACAAGGTCAATAATATATCTATACTTGTGGAATCACCAGACCTTGATTGACTCAATAGGGAACCACAAGGTCAAACACAAGGTCACACACAGAGTCAAAAACAAGGTCAAACACGGAGTCAAGAACAAGGGCAAACACAAGGTCAAACACGAAGTCAAGCACAGGGGAAAACAAGGTCAAACACGGAGTCAGGCACAAGGGAAAAACAAGGTCAAACACGGAGTCAAGCACAAGGGAAAAACAAGGTCAAACACGGAGTCAAGCACAAGGGAAAAACAAGGTCAAACACGGAGTCAAGCACAAGGGAACAACAAGGTCAAACACGGAGTCAAGCACAAGGGAAAAACAAGGTCAAACACGGAGTCAAGCACAAGGGAACAACAAGGTCAAACACGGAGTCAAGCACAAGGGGAAAAACAAAGTCTATCACGGAGTCAAACATAAGGTCTTAATGAAACATTCTAAATCCACACCCATAGATAGAGGACCGTCCTCCTGCCACAATACGACCAAAAGGTGGATGGTATACATGACCCATGCTCTTTCATTTTTTTGCTTTTGTTAAGGAAGATGTTGATTGCTACTTTCTGATTTTGATCTTAAATCAACATTCAACAAAATGTGTATATTTGTAAATAAAATTACTCTTTCTATATATTTATTGCTTTTGTTATCATTTCCACTCAGTTTTACAAAATAATCAGCATAAAAAAAACTGCAATTTGCAATGAACCAATGGTATTTATTACATACTGAAACATCCCTTTTAAAGAAAACGTATGCTTGTCATGCCTACACACTCCCAAAAAGTACTCATTTTGAACAGCCATTGAAAACCTCGCATACCTCCTTAATGGAAGAATTGAGAGAATTTTAATTTAACTGAAAATATCAGTCTGTGGATTTTATTACATCGTAAGCCCCGCCGCTCGCTTCACTGTTAAATTAAAACTGACTAGGCCATCTGGGAAGAGTTAATTGTAAATTGCGCTCCAATCTTCATCCTTGTCCTCTGTCGCCTCTCTCAGTAATTTGAACCTTTCTGAACCTGGAGCTCAACTAGTGTCACCGGAGCTCTCGCTGACGGAGGTAACACAGCAGTGTGCGCCCTTGTCGAGGTCAGACAGAGATTGTGACAGCTGCTGTTCCATAGTAAACGGTACCCTGTATGTAGTGTGATAGATAGTACAGGTGATCTCAGAGCAGTCCTTCCTCACCTGGAAACAATGCAATACTACCACCAGTTGTAAGGGACTGTAGATACAGTAAACATTAAACAGTTAAAATGAACCAGGAAACATCAGCAGCGTTAGAAGGTATTCAATACGAACTCGTGATGGATACTGGTCCCAACATCAATGTTTGTAATGGAGCAGATGACACTATGAAGTTGGACAGAACATCTCCGCTCGTAGATGGCAGAGGAATCTATACAGAAGACAAGAAAATAATGGAACAAGGTATAATGCTTTTTTTGATATTGCACTGAATATTGTTGTTTCTGCATCTTTTCCCTCTTTCCATACAGTTTAAAAAACGTAGTTTGTTTTCATTTTTTGTCAGTAACGCTGATGATTGGTTTGAATTAGGATTCTGTACCTGTTAACTGTGACATTCAGCAAAAGGACGGAAGCATTATGCAACTTAAAACATTACTTGTAGTAAAATTTCGCAACAATCTAATGTAAATGACGTCATAATCATCAAGATATCTACAAAAATGTATAGTGGATAAATATGA